AATAATAAGCATCAAAAATGCATTTTTTTCCCACAAAATAAAGACATCTTTTGAAGTAGATAGCAGACCTGCCATTTTTGAGTACCATTTTCAGAGTAGGTCCCCATTATACAATGACATCGCAATCACAAGTTTTTGTTGATTCTGCTGCTTTACGAGTAATGCTTTTTTATTGTTTTCCTTTGCTTTATAGAGCATGTTGGCTGTCATCACTGCATCACTCCTTTGGGCAAATTTTGGCAGTCAGCATTTGAGTTTGAAAGAATTACCTTCTAAATCTCAGAACCAAAACAAAAACAACAAACCTTGAACTTAGCAATCAGTATTCTGCAATGCAGACGGCTGGCACTTAACTTTGTATTGCCTCTCTGGCAGCAGCAAAGAGTTGTCACCCAGAATGATTGGAACTGCCATCAGAGTGGGATAATGGGATGGCCAGTTGCATACTAAAATGTTTTTTAAACTCTGAGTAGAATGGCTGGAAATTGCAGAACACAGCAACTTGTGAGCTATCTAAATTTTATCTTCCCCTTCCTTTCCTCAGTCTTGTATTTCTTTTGTATAATGGCAGTTGTACTGTATAAGTCTATGATATTATTTAGTGGAGGTGCAGCCCATCAATAACCTATTGTCCATATCACACAAATTTACTGCATTCTGAGGGATAACACGCAATAGAACCTCCAAAGCTTTCCACATGTTCGCACCCCCTCACTTGGTTGAAAACTCATCAGAAGTAAAAATACTGTGAAGCTGAGGATAGTTGTTTACACTTAGGGATGTATCCCACAGCGTGTTAAGATTCCTGCATAACTGCTTCTTAGTTTGCATCCTTGTCATGCCAGGTTGTCCCACTTCCGGGGATTGGCAGGTTGAAAGAATATGCTGATCTGTCCATGCGCATCACCATATTCTGAGGATTGATTGCAGTTTCTTGGCTGGAGAGTAAATTCCTTTTATTCCTATGTGCATTTGGAGTGTAGGCTGTCGAAGCTATTTACGTTTGGGATGGAATTTGTGAGAAGTGCTCCCCGCATAATTTTCCGTGGTGCTTCTCCGGTGCATTTCTGCCAAGGCTAAATTAGACATCGAGAACCAAGAATGATAAGGGAAGGAATTAAATTATTACAAGAAAAGTCTCCAAAACATTACACTGAGGAAAATAGAAGCTACAGGAAGGCAAACTTTGCTCCCTATCAATGAAGTAGTCAATAAAGCAGTTCTAGAATTGAGATGCCATGAAGAAGCTGTAACACTTCTCATTTTATTGAATGTACCTTGGGATGTTCAGAGGTATTACATAGTTACTCTCCTGTGCTTACAAAAGCAAAATGTGATATTTTGTAGCCTCTACATAAAACAATAATTATGAACCTCTCAACTTCAATTAAATTAATGATTTCTAAGGAATGGTGGTGTGGAATAAAAATTTCAGATGTATGTATGTGTGACTGTAACACTGCTTATATAAATATGAACTATATTGTTCACAGAGAGAACCCTTAAGATGAAGCAGCAAGCTGAAAAATAGAAGCAATTAAGAACCAAACCTCTAGTTTTTCTCAGAAACTGACCTGTAATTTGACCTTTAATCGTTTAATAATTTTAACCTGGTGACTTTTTACTTCTTAGAACATTGTCCACTGCACAATGGCATGGACTGGAACTGGAAAGAAAGTGGAGATCCATGACTTCCAGGTAAGTTTAGGGTAGGCGTACTCTTCCTCCTCTTCTTTGGGAGCTGTGTTTGGATACAATCTCATAATATCGGATTTCGGGTGCATGGGGGGGCAGCAGCTGTGCTCTATGGGATGCTGCTTGCTTTTTATCCCAGTCCCCAGACTCTAAGGGAGTGAGGGGAAAGTACTTGCATTCTGTGCATGCCTCTTGTACCTGACTGGAGAGCTCCCTCACTCTCTTAGCATCCAGGGAATAGGATGAAAAGCAAGCTATGTCCCAGAGCGCCCAGATGCTGCCCCCCTAACATGCCTGAAATGGTGCCCTGGTTTTTGAGGTGCTATCACTCTTGTAAATGAAACCCTTACATAAAATGCACCCACACCATATATGTGTGTGTTTTGGAAGAAGAGGTGATGTATCCATAGTTAACGTTGAGATTTTCATGTAAGCAGTTAGTTTGTATGTAATGCCATGTAGTGATGTTGTTGCCCTAACCATTGTTAATGCAGGGTATATATCCTAAAGTGAAAAAAATGCTTATAGGATCCTGGTGTAGAGTACACCTTTTAGCTTTGGAAAGCCCTAGGTATTTTCTAGTCCTCAGTCCATCCTTATTTCCTAGCAACTTCAATACATGAAGTCTACCTTAATTTTTAGTAAATATTAATGTTAGTTGCATATGAGAGATGAATTACAACTTTTTACTCTGTTCCAATGGGTATTCACCAGCTACCTATGTGACAGGGGTCTGGTAAATTTGAGGTTCATCCCAAAATCAAACCACCAACCAACCATGTCTCCGCTGTACCTTTACATTATAGGACCTGCTTATGCTAGGGAATTTTTGAAAAAATATGTCACTGTTGCAAAAGTAGTTCAGCTTTGTCTGGGTTAGCTATAGTGTGGACTGGCTGCCAGTGCCGTTAGCCACAGGGTCCTCTCTAACCTTTCTTGCAGCTGATGCCTAGTCTACACTAGGGCTCCCAAGAGTGCTAATGCCAGTAGCTCTGCAGAGCTTCTTGTTCCTTTTAAAGTATTGCTCTCCCTGGGCATATCTAGACTACACTAAACGGTCAAAAAGGATATGCAGATTCCATTGGAATTTGCATATCTTCTTCCGATCACACTTTTGAAAGTTTTGAATTTGAATATCCTCTTTCGACAAAACCCTAAGCCATATATTCATTTCATTTAAAGCTCTGTGACCCCCTCCAAATATTGCCTTCTGGTTAAAGCTGTTGCTCTAATGGCCTACACAAGTCTAGGGGCTGGTAGGGAAAATTCCAGTTTAGGAGTGTACATGCCTATTAATATATTGCTCCTTCTCCCTGTAAGGAGGGGAGTAGTGATTTAATCCATGCATTGAGCAGAAGTGGCTTGTGGACAGCTGCTAGTCAGGGACTTGGTGAAGATGTGGACAGGGCCTCCCTTTGTGTTCTCCATTAGACAGGCAAGGGATCTGGCTTGAGAGAGTTGAGGACCTACCTAGAGTGTGAGTGGTCGGGAGAGAGCCAAGGCAGTAGTAGAACTTGAGGAGTGTAGGACCGGTGAGGAGTGCGCACAGCTCCTACTGAGAATGGTGTGCGAATGAGAGTTGGTGATGTGGAGGCTGGAGTGGGCACCTGTGAGGGCAGCCAGACTTGCAGGGGCTGTGTAACATGAACTCCTCCCCCTTTTCACAGAACTACTTCAAGGAGACCTCGTGGTTGGTGGTTGGCTTAACTCTGTCACTCAGGCATGTGAAAAATGTCATGTCCTGTGCCATGTAGTCAAGCTGACCTAAACCCTGGTATAGACGAAAGGATGATGAAAGAATTATTTTGTTGACGGGCAGCCAGACTTGCAGGGGCTGTGTAACATGAACTCCTCCCCCTTTTCACAGAACTACTTCAAGGAGACCTCGTGGTTGGTGGTTGGCTTAACTCTGTCACTCAGGCATGTGAAAAATGTCATGTCCTGTGCCATGTAGTCAAGCTGACCTAAACCCTGGTATAGACGAAAGGATGATGAAAGAATTATTTTGTTGACCTAGCTCCTGCCTCTAAGAGGTGGATTTACTAAAGTAATGGAAGAACCCCTACTGTTGCTGAAGGAAATATCTACAGTAGTGCACTATGGCTGTACTGCTAGTGCAGACATATGCTGAGAAAAAGGGTTTTATCCTGGAAGCAATTGGCCATCTGGCCCATTGTTGTTTAAAGTTCATTGTTGGATCACATGTCAAAAACAGGTAACAATAAGAGCAGCTAAAACATTTAATCCCGGTGTTGTTCTCCCAAGTAGTTCAGAGGTGTGCTACATCCACAATTATCTAAGTAGACCCTCTTTCCTGTTGCAAAGTTGGCATTTTGTGGTAGGGAGAATATGAGTTTTTGACCTTCAGAAGCAGGACACTTGCCAACCTTTGTCAAGACAGGGGAAGAGTTTACCTGCAGAAACTTAGCAGCTTCTTTTAAAGTAAAAGGATTTATTATATAGCCTTTCTACTAGTCTGGGGATGGTTGCCTTTTCTAACCTCTCCCTGGAAAATATTTTTTGGTAGTTAGAAAATGTTTCTTTTTTGCACTTTTTAGGACTTTTTTCTGTCATACCAAGGTACTTAAGATTAAAACCTTAATATTTAACAAGCTCTCTATTGCTAGAGAAAGAGAGCGAGCAGTGACCATTTGCGAATGGGACGGCAGCTCAGTGGATTAATACTAACATAAAGTTGGATTTGAATCCTCAAATGATAATCTTCGAATATACTTAGACATTGTAGCTCTGCAAGTCCCCTGGGGAAACTGCTTCTTCTTGTGCTTCAAAAATTGCATTTAAAACATATCTGAAACTTTTAAACCACCTTGCCTTTTGGCATGGTTCCCTTGGGAAAGCTTTTGCTATCAGTACTTGGATTCCTCCTGGGCATGTCTGTATATTCAAACCTTCACCCCATGAGGTCTCTCTTCATATTACTGTTGACCCACATCAATTTTATGGAGACCTGGAGGAATGGTGGGGTGGAAATAAGCCACTCTCCTACCTCAACAGAGAACTTGCTGATACTTTAATGCCTCTGGGCAGCAATGTTTGTTTATTTTAAAGGTGAATGCAAAGATAAAATAAGAATTAAGTCAAGCCTATTCATGCGTGCCCCCAGTAGCCCATCTGTGGGTGCTGTTCAGCATGAAGATGAATTTTAACTCGCCTTTTAAAAACTCTTCACACACATACACCCCAAAAACCTTCCTTGTACACTTTCTAGTTTGCTTAAACATTCCAGCATTGCAGTATCTGCATACTTCAATAGTACCAGCCCTGCCTACCCGTGGTTTTGATGTGATCACAGCATAGTACATTCTGAGGTGCCAGCAAGTGAAGGAGAAAACCCATAATATTTCACAGGAGAGCAATTAATAATTTAAAAGAATTTACCACTATGCAGCGTACCTCTGATAGCTGAGTTACGGGGGAAATTGTGTACATATTTATGGGGATTATCTCTATCTTCAGTTTAATTTTTCAGTTTGCCCTTAATTTGCTCTTAAGCACATAGGGCAACCAAGGGAGAGCTCACTAAATGAAAATGAAATAACCTTGAACTAGTATTCCAGTTTACGTATAGCAACAGCTCTTCTTGTAAACAAGGCACTGGGACATTCAGCTAGTCCGGTGTTTCTTAAAGGCAGCCATTTGAACTCTGTTCTCACCACGTATGGTACTTATATTTTCTGAACCAAAATTAGGGACACATTAGCAATACACCCCTGACCTCTGTTAACCATGCCCCTGACTCTTGGGGTCAAGATGGACACATGACCAGAAGTACAAGGTGTCATGTGACCTCCTCTAAGAACTTTTCCCACTATCCTCCTACCACTAGGGATGAGTTTGGTCCCCATCAAACCCTCCCTCATGCTACTATCCTGCAATTGCATTAAACCAATTTGTATCACATTAACTTGGGAGAGGGGGGGAGGAGGAAGGCTGGAGGAAGTGTTCCCGCTAAGATTTTCCTCCCATGAGCAGAATTATTTTTGTATTGTGCACTAGTATTAAGTTCATGTGGCTTGTTTGGATGTGCCACTGTGGCACCCAAGTTAATAATAAATATCTTATAAACCTCTACCTTTTCCCTCTGCCGCCATGTCTCCTCTCTTGCTCCATCAGCTCACCTGGTGCCTGCTGCCCCCCGCCACTCAACTCCTCACCCTCCTCTGCTGTCCTGACTCCTGCCCTTCTCACTGCCCTCAGCCCTCATGGGACCTGCTCCCCTGCACAAGCCCTTCCCTCCCCCCTGTGCCCACTCCTCTAGTAGCCCCACTCTGATCGTGTAGCTACCCCTCTTCATGTCCTCTCCTAACACCTCCCTCTACACACCTGCCCTACCTCTCTCCTCTGGTGCTGATTCCTCCCCTGCAAGTGTCTGCCCTTCTGCTTCACCCCCAGAATCCCCTGGCACCTGCACCTTCCCTTAGCCCTGCACCCTCCTGGTGCTTCCTTCTTCCCTCACGCTCCTGCCCCTTTGCCCTCTTTCTTCTTGATGCCCATCCCCTCACCAACCTCAGCCCCAGTTCCTCTCAGGCCCCTTTGCGTCCTCACACATGACTTGCTCCATCCCCTCCTTCCTCGTGCCCACCCCTCCTTTCAACCCTTCTCCCCCTCCCCTTGCTTCCTCTTGCGCCCAATGCCCTTCCTCTCTCCTCTCACAGCATCACCCTGTCCCCTCCACCCTGCCACCCCCACTGACACCTTCTCTCCCTCCTCCTGCCCTTTTCCTCATTGTCTCCACTTGGCCCCCTGGCATTTGTCTCTCCTGCACCCTGCCGCTTGGTGCCTTCCCCTTTCTTCTCCTGCCCTGCTCCCCTCCCCTCAACACAGGCCCCTTCCTCTTCCAACCTTCCTCCCCTATTTCTCTCGGTGCCCCTCCCCCACCTTTTGCCTTCCAGTTTGTGGGGCTGGAGTCCGTGGTTGGGCCCCAGAAGTCCCTGCAGCACTGGCCCCAGGTGCTTCCAAGGCAGGACTGCTTGCTGGGCCTG